GTTTTGGGGGTGCCACTTTCACAACACAGAAATGTTTTCTTTCCTTTTGTTCAGCGATGGTTTTGGGGGTTTGATCTGGTCGGGGAGTCATTTGTTGGGGGGGTGTTGGTGGATGTCATCCATTGTGAGGGGGCAGAAAGAGAGGGCTCATTGGCTGAAAGGCGGTTGGGGAGGGACATTAACTAGGAGGGGATAGGGTTTGATAGACATAAGGACAATACAACACACACAAAAAAACCAATACTGGCAATACATGATGCAAACATAGCACTGGCAAACGTAATGTGTCTATGACAAAATGTGAACAAAGTCAACATGACAACCTGGCCAAGAAAACCAAAATTGGTGTTGCAGTGTAGGAAAAAAATACTACAACCATGAGCAAGTCTGACACCTAACATGATGGAAACATAGCACAGCAAAACTAACAACGTAGAGCAACTCTAAAACCTAATAACTAAGAACATGAAAGTAATGTACAGATAAAATAAAGATAATATACAAAAACATGAAAGTACAAAACTAATCTGCCCTACTACACAAAGTCACTTACTCCTGCCGTGTAAAACATGAAAGTACAAAACTGATCTGTCGTGCTACACAAGTCGCTAACCCCTACTGCCGCGCCTACTATAAGTGCTATGACGTGCTGCACTCCCTCTCCCTGCCAATGTTCCTCTCTGCCCAATCCGACCCCTACCGCGTGGTGCTCCCTCTCTCCCTAGTACGGGTGCAAGGTGTGAGCCTGCCGCGGACGCTACTCTCCGATGCCTCTCTCTCCGCATAGCTGTTTCGATGGGCTCAGTCTCTGTGTCCGCCTCCTAAGCCTGTGCCTCCGTCTCCGACCTCCTCTCACGCTCGCGAATGAGGTCTGCCAACCGCTGCTGGTCAGCAGCAATCTCCGCATCAAGATCCGTGATCGAGCCATGACGTCTCGAACCCTGTGGCATATGCAAGTCCTCCTCGCCCGATATGTACGGCAGTCCCTGCCGTCTGTCGTCAATGGCTGATCGAGCCAGATAAACCTACAGCCTCTCTGTCCTCCTCGTCTCAACTCTATCCAATCCGAGTATACGTCCTGCTGTGTGGACACTCGGTCATCCAGCCTCACTCGCACCCGCTGCAGGATTTCCCTCCCCCAATGGTCCTCGTGCGAACAGCCCCCGTCCTCTATCATAGTCCCTCCTCAGACTGTCCGTCACTCGCCGACAAGACGACCACCCCCCTAAAACGCCACCACGATGACTCGGAGAAGATCCCCGCCCGCTGCCTCGACCTCCAATCGGTGGAAGACCTGCAGCCGGTGCTGATCCCTGCTGCGATGCTCGAGATACAGGGCGCGTCTGTGGCTGCGCATGGCTGCTGCCAGGCCCGCCTGAAAACACTGCCGCCTGTCTCTCCAAAGACTCGCGCTCGCGGATGTTGGACTGCAATGATCCAGTCCACATAGGGCTCACTGGAGCCCACGGGGGAGGCGAGGGCTGACCACCGGTGAACGGGAAAGGGTCCTCCGTCCCCAACCTCTCTAGCTGCTCCGGATGTAATGGGGTCGGAGTGCACTCCCCCGGTTCCCTGCCATCCCACTGAGGCATCTCCCCGAAATGCCCACCTGTGGAGAAAGAGCCCGGCCCGCCCGAGTCAATATGCCCTCCTCTCTCGATATCTCGCACCGACGGGGGCCTAACAATAATCGCGAGGGACTTGTCGATGGCTGCTCCCTCCTCCTCAACATCATGCCCTCCAGTCACGCCATCTCGCACGGACGGGGCACTGTGGCCTGCGTCGACCGCTACTCCCTCCTCGTCATCCTCCGTCGCGCCATCAACGAAAGCCTCGAAAGGCACACTGCCCTCCAAAGGGACACTGCCCTCGTCCACCAACTCCTCCTCAGGCAAAGCCAAATCGCCCTCGTCCAACTCCTCCTGAGGCAAAGGAACACTCCCCTCGTCCACCAACTCCTCCTGAGGCAAAGGAACACTCCCCTCATCCACCAACTCCTCCTGAGGCAAAGGAACACTCCCCTCGTCCACCAACTCCTCCCGAGGCAAAGGAACACTCCCCTCGTCCACCAACTCCTACTAAGGCAAAGTCACACTGCCCTCGTCCACCATCCCTTCCTCCCCTCCATGAGTCCCTCCATCTGCGCCTGCCGCTCATATGCCAATCACGACGTCGCCTACGATAGCCTCAGCGTCCGCACACTCCTCACCGTCGTCGGAGCTCTCCGCTCCTGTGTCTGCCCTGACTGTCTCGACACCCCTGACATGACCACCCTCGCATGACACATCTGCCTTCCCCCCGCCTCCAGCGGAGAATCCGCATGTGTCAGCACCACCACCCACAACATGAGAGGGCCCAGAGGGGGGCTGCATCGTGTCAGAAGTCGGCATACGTCCGACGCTCGATGGTGGACCCGCTCCTATCGTCTCTAACTCCCTCTGCCACTGCTGCTCGGCCTCATATGCCTCTCTGCCCTCCCATCGAGGCATCGACTGTAACCATGCCTCCTCCTCGCGATCCAGGCGAGCATCCCTATCCTCAACAGTCTCCTCCCTCTCCCTCACATCCGTACTGTAATCCGGTATGTCATGGACTCTGCATCGTAAGACAGGTGAGCCCCCATGCGAACCCGCGATATCGAAATCGCTGGTGCGCAGAGAGGATGTCGCAGCCTGTGCGGGGCCGCTGTGTGACGGTGTCCCCTCCGCGACCGGTATGTCCTGAGGCTGCTGGGACACCGGAACGCTACGCTCTGCCAACCTGTGTGACCGACGAAGCTGCTCTGAATGCTCCCTGGAGTGGTGGCTCGGATCGAACCGAGGGTCGCGCAGGCGGTCAGCGTGAGGTGCCACACCCTCGTCCTCGTCACTCGACTCCACCCCTAGAACTCTCCTCGCACGGGGGTGAACGTCGCGAGCAAAGACGCCACGACCTCGACCCGCGGAGGGTGTCGAGTGGCGCTACCCTGTGCCCCGCCGACGACATCGTCCGTGATGACAGACTTCCGCGGCGCATGCCCGTCCGACCCGCCCCCGTACGTGAAGTACACCTGCTCCGCCGTCCTATCTGTGCCCCCCGCCACATCCTCTGCGTCCGTCCAATCGTCCTCTCCGTCCTCAGCGGCTGCCGCGGAACCCTCTCCTGCTCCCCGGGACGGGGGAGGAGGCACATGGTCGAAAGGGAGCACAGTGGCCGCCCGATCCCCGAATACGGCAGAAACCTCTCGAGGACGGCTTGTGTCGTCCTTGCGAAAAACATCGATCTGCCTCCTGATCTCTCGGTCGGTGAACGTACCAACAGGTCTGGCCCCCCACACGTCAGGCTCGGGGTCACCGCCGTCCTTGTCCTCGTCCGCCAACCGTCTCTCGGTGTCGACACCATCCATGACCCACGGAAGCACATAGCCACCACCCTGCTGCCTGCATGAAGCCAGTTTGAGATTTGTCGTGATCTCAACCAGCTGTGCCACCTTGGCGAAGCCAAGGTTGCTCCGCTTTGCCGTCTAAATGCGCTCGTGGGCCGCCCAATTCCTCTCTGCGAGAGAGGCTGACGTCCACATGTGCATCACACGGATAACGATAGCACGTAACTCAGGGTGGGCAGTGTCGTGGGCAAACCACCACGCCGCGCAATGGTGCGTCTCCTGATCCCCATGGCAACCCTCCACCTTGGCATCCGACACCAGCCTGTCACCCCAGTCTCCAGTGCGTGCATGGAATCGGCACCTCTGGTCACGAACAACGAGGTAATCCCTGCTGGTCGAATCACCTCCAGTCTGCGCAAGCAGAAAACGATCACACTCCTGTACAACCTCCGCATCCTCCGTCGTGGTGTGGAGGGACGCGTAGTACCTCAAAGACCGGCGACGGGGGTTTAGGAGATGAGCGGCAGCGTGCGCGGGCTCCAACAAGTGCATGAGCCGCATCCTGACCTCTCGCACGCACGGGGTCAGAAGATCGGCCGGCACAACGTCCAGCTTCGTCAGAAGCTGAACAAGATGACGGCTCCAGTCGTAGACGATGGACATCATCATCCCTCCTCTGTCCATCCGCCTCAGCAGCTGATGGATGGACTTCATGACAAAAATCAAGAACTCAACATAGCGCCAGAACTTGCCATCTCGAATCTGGAGACGCACCCATCTCGCCTGGGGTAGCAGTCTTCACTCCCAAGGGATACTCGCCCAGGCGTCGTCATGCAACATCGCCTCCATCGAGTCGCGTCTCCCAAGGAGACAAGTCAACATCATGAAAACTGATGCGAAACGAGTCTCAACTGGCTGCACAAGCGAAACGCGCGGGCTCTTCTTCTTGTAAAGGGCGAGAGTTGCGCCGTGCGATTTAATAAATCGCACCATCGCTCGTCCATGGATAATGGTGTCAACTGCCCACCCCACTCGTGTCCCTATGTCTGACAACATCAAGTTGCAAACATGGGTCGAGCATGGGAGCCAAGTGATGCGCCGGACCACTGGAGCGGGGTCTGCGGCGAGCAAACGGGCGGTTGCTGTGTAGTTACTAGCGGAGTCTGTAAGGAAAGCTATGACGTCCTTCGCAGGGAAGGACTCAATGATGGCCTTCCACTTGCGGAAGACAATGGCGCCCGTCTCCTGTACATAACCGTCGCGGCAAATGGTGGCGTAGAGTAGGGTGCCAGTGGCACCCGCAGCAAGGAAGTTCACGATGGGTCGAGAATCACAAGATTTCCGACCATCTGACAAGATGGTGGCGCCGCTATGACTAAACGACTCTCGGACCTCCCGTAATAAAGCCGCCAACTTCGCCCCTTGCTCGGGCACTCCATCTCCACCGATTTCCTTAAAGGAAGGAAATCGCATCCGCACTCCTCTAGGCAGCCGATCCGCCGCCTTCCGGACCTCCCTCCACAATTGCCTCCTGAGCGCGTTGAATGGAATGCCAAAGTCATAAATCCACTGCAGAAACTTGTCGTTGAAGACCGATTGCTTGTCCGCAGTGTAGACCTCGTCAATCTTGGACTGGCGGACCCTCTTCCCCGGTCGGGTCGCTGCCTGGTCGGTCTCCCCCATCGGCCTCTTCCCCTTTCGGATCTCAGGGTCCTCCCCACGCAATGTCATCACGACCTTCTCCCCTGGCACGTCGTCCCTGCCTACCGCTCCTGCACGTCGTCCCTGCCGCTCCTCCATCTCGTCAAGCACGTCCTGCACGTCTTCCCTGCTTGAAGTGCAAGGATCCGCTCCTGTACAACCTCCAATAAGTGCTCGGGAGTCTCTGATGTCGTGCTCCTCCATTTATGCGCGGATGGATGCGTGATGTCGGTCATCGAATCTGTAGTTCGTGTCGTTCCAAATGTCAACGAGCACGTCGAACTGCGCAACACGACACTTCTTCAACTGGCAGAAGTGCCTCGCGGCCTTCGATTGGTTCCCCTGCCAGAGGTGCTTGCACAAGTTGCATCGCAACTTGCGGTCACCGTGCATCTTTTCCGACGACCATACCGGTTGCCCCAGCGTAACGTATTTCCAAACGCATGAGGCCCTCCTCAGCTTGGCCATCTTAGCATCGGAAACAGGGATAAAATCTGAACCCCCTGAACCACCGGCCCCCCCCAACCCACCCCCCCTCCGACTCATTGTGAACGAATGACTCGTTCGCACTAGCCTATGTGCTGATGTCGCTCTGTGATGTCGCCCATCGAGTCGTTGAAGGCCGTCGATGTCGTACTCCCCGTGTCCAAGACCCCCTCCCCGCCCCGGGTCCACCGGGCACCAACGCGGCCAAGAACCAAGGCCCGCCCCAGTCCCGTCGCGACCTCGCGGTTGTGAACACGTCCGCCTCGGTCGTGGCTTTGCCCGCTGTGGTTGGCGACGCGACCGAAGCGGTCGGGATCGCGCCTGAGCTGGCCGAGAAGTATTTTGGTTGCTGTTCGAGGGGGTCGGAGATTGGCGGCGAGAAAAAAAAAAAAAATTAAAAAAAAAATAAAAAAATCAGATGATTGATTGGTTGATTGATTGATTGATTATGTGTGTGTGTGTGTGTGTGTGTGTGTGTGTGTGTGTGTGTGTGTGTGTGTGTGTGTGTGTGT